TTGTTTTCTTGAAGTATCGTTGTCTCTGAATGAATTACAATGCGAGTTCTTCAGCGATCACTGAACATGCTCAGTGTATTGATCACTGGAACTGAAAGTACAGAAACACAAAATACATCGAAAGGAAAAAGGGATTATCATCAAATCACTGAGAGAGAGGATCAACAGAACCACTCACCTTTTAAAGCTTTTGAAACCCAAAACACTAGAATCAATCCTTCTTGAAGCTTGACACTTGAAAATCAACTTGCAATCACCTTCTCTTAATAAACCGGACAACACTTTTTATAACTCTCTCAATTTCCTCTCAAAATGGCAAGAAGAGTCAAATGAAGGGGTAGCCCCCCTTTTTATACTTACCAAATGGGGAAGGTCGGCCAACCGCCTCCCCCTAAATTTTGCCACCTCTTGCATGAGATTATACATACACACATGCACACACCTTATTCATACATGCATGCACAACTCTTACACACATATACACATATCATGAATACACACACATACCCATATATATATATATATCAATATATATATATATATGTATATTCATATTTCAATAATGCATAAATGCATATACCTGTACACAGCAAATTATCATGCTATCATGTAATCATTTAGTCAAATATTCACGTATAAATTACCTTGGGTAATAACCAGGATCTGGTTATCACAGCATCCGGTGATTTCATACTATCACCCTTTGATGGACAGTTGCGCGAATCATGCCACCCCATTTTCTCACAAGTTCTGCACAATCTTTTGGGTTTCTTTGCATTCATGGATACCCTCTCTGACATACCAACAAGACGCTTCCTGGTTCCAGAACCTTTATTACGTATCCCTGTTGGTGGTAAGATATCAACCGATTCAGGTTCGAAAACACACAAGAGCTCTTGTATATCATTTCTCTTCTGTTCAGTACCTGTCAATATAGGAACATCAACTGAAATTTCATCACCCAAACATTCCAATTGCTCCACAAACTTTGTCAACGATCCCTTGTCATTGCGTACACGCCCAATAATAAGATTAAACATTGATATATCCTGATTGATCAAAACTTGTTTCTCAACATCCATTTCACCATACCTAACACGAGCCGACAACAACTCAACGGGAACTAACTCTCGTCTTCATCGCGGCAAAATGTATTTCTCAGGAATAGATTGCACCTCAGAATTTAACATTACCTTAAACGCTTGGCGACATAATATACCATTGCGAACAAAATGGTTGCAACTACAATCAAAAGACTCATCCCTTACATCATGAACCACCTAGCGTATCATAAATAAATGAAGAGAAGTTAGAAAAAAGTAATAAGAAATGCGATTCTAATCAATTAATGTCAAAATGAAATCAAAGAATTGATCATGACCTTGTACGTAGCTTTAACCTCATAATTCTTGTTCTTATGTGTAATACTGTAAATCATCTTATCATCGACCTCTACAACGTCGACAATCCCACAGAACCATACTGCCTTGTTTATTTCCTTTTGCATAACAAAAAAAAAAATTGTTTTCGTGTACACTTTCGCTGCTTGCGCTTCAATTTTGGATGGTGACAACAATTTAGGTATCGTAGTTCTAGTTGCAATCTCAAGGGAACAGTGTTCTTTTTTTGACTTCGATTGCATTGTCGAAGGGAACAATGTTCTTTCCTTTGACTTTCTGATCAGATTTTGCAATTTTCATTTTATTGGTAGATGGATCCGTTACATTTTGATAATGAAATTGTTTCATTGTTTACTAATTACATAAAATTTTCTTATAAAACATGAAATAGTTTCACTTTCTTCAATCACCCATTTAATCGGCCATCATGGTTTGATGAGTCATTTGTCATTTCACGCTATTGATAATGAAATTGCTTCACTTTTCGCTAATGAATCAGGCTTTTTATTATATTTTCTGAAATGGTTTCACTTCCTTCAAACACCCTATTCATCATGCACCCTATTCATCATGCAATTATTTCATGACGCACCGATTTCATCATGCACCCGTTTCATAATCATTTTCACTTACTCTATGCACCAACTTCACCATTTATGAAACCGATTTCACCATGAAACCTGTTCAATATTCATTGTTCAGTTACTCCATGCACCAATTTCACCATGTATGAAATCAGTTTCATGAACATTTTTATTTTATTTTAATACTGATTTCATGGATTCATTGCTCTAATACCTTACGATTTTCATGATTCTTGAAAAGATTTAATCGACACACAATATAAGAAGATCCAATTTTTAATATTACAATTTAATTAAATATTTAAATGTTACTATTTATACAATTACCTTTATTATGTTGCCTTAATTAAGATTTATTAATAACTTTCATATTTAATAGAAAACAATACAAATGACCAAAATACCCTTAATGATTAAATTTAATTAGAAAAAAAAATGAAATTTTCCTATTGATAGAAATTAGTTTACACGGTTTCTAAGAATTGCACGAGTTATCTTGGTTGAGTAAAACCAACAATGCATGAGTGATGATATGTAAATACATTTTCATCTTTTACAAACATATTTTGTTATATACTTGTGTATCAATAATTTAATATTACCTATTTGTTATATGTATAAAATTAAATCAAACAATCAACAATACTCTTAAGTTACCAAATATTAAAAACACATTTATTTAAAAGAATTATCCGAACCTAAACCTACAACGAGGATTGGGTTTTAGTGAGAAAGAAAATTACAATGAAAAGTGTTAATAATAAATCTTCATACTTAAATTAATCCTAATTAAATATCAAGACTAATGAATTATATCAAAATACATCAATTTCTTATCTAAAATATAATTCATAGATAAAAATGAAATAAAAAATATCAAAGATTCCGTTTTATTCTTACACTTCTAACCTTAAAAACCATGAGAGATATTAAAATTCCCAACCGGTCTTGGGTTTGAAATCCAGGAAGCAAACGGGTCATTGCAACCATGGACAACGTCACATCCTTACATACGCGTACAAATATAAGAAGCAGGCACTACCAGAGACATTTTATAGAGACAGCTAAGTAGTGGTATAAAGCCAATCAACCCAGCAGATCCGCCATTGATAGATAGAAGATTTTCTTTTCCTTTTTCAACCATACTCCCTCTCTTCGCTTCTACACACATCTATCTCTTTATCGACTCCAATTCTTTATGTATGTATGTATGTATGTATGAATGCATAGGAGGAGATAAAGGAACGGGGGCCGCATGTTTGAGGAGCGAGATGATGATAGTGGAGTTAGAACAACCTGGTTGTTACTCAAAGGCCTTAGTGGCTGTCAATCTTGCTCTTGCTTTTATTGACTGCGTTATTGCCGTTCTTGCATATTATCAGGTTCTCTTTCCAACCAATCTTCACATTTTCACTTTTGAATTTTGGGTTATTAGGTTTGTTATTCAATGAGTTCGTTTAGTGATTAAATTAGTCTCTCGTATGATTGAAGGGGGTGAACTTGGAATTGGAAATTTACTTCGTATGTGTATAGCAGCATAATGCCAATTTGTGGTTTCTGTTTCAACAAATCATTTCGTACGGGGCGCTTATCATGTAGAAACGGCTAAAATTGGTTACTTTTTAGGAGTTCATGTAGTGGTATGATTGATGATTGGATTTGTTTTAACAAACTTCACTTGATAATGCTGTAGGATGTAGTACTTGTGTTGCATTATGCCTATAGCTGGTTGTTGTTTGAAAGAAAGCCTTTATTATTTAGTTAAATCATATGCACTATTATGTAGATTGCAATGCTTCTTTTAGCATTATATTGTGCATAGCATATTCATGATTGTTGCTAACCGTGATGGTAGTGTGGTTTTTGGAGATGACTATGAAACAAGGATGGGTTTATGTCCTAATTGAGTTGAAGGATAAAGTTCCAAATAGTCTACATTATGCATTAATGACTAATGGATATGAACATCAACTTGGTGGAGTATGATACCATTGCTAAGATATGGATTATCCACAAGTTCTCTTTTCATATGTTCTAAGTTTGAAACATCAACTCATCATCCTAAGGGTGAAATTGATATACAAAATATAATCCCATATTTCATGGGTTATATTTATCTTTTAGTAACAAATTTTATAGTTATCTCTATATTTGGATAGTTCTTAAGCTGTATATAATACACATTTTTTGTAAAAACTTCATTGTACCGGAGCTCTCTAAGGGTATCAAAGCTCTCTAAAATATACAACAATGTATGCACATCAGAATCGTAAACCTCTTAGCCTAAGTTCAATATGCCGGAGTCCGAACCAAATACCTACATCGTCACATCCGTTGATTGATCAACACGAGTAGTTGACTACTCCTAATCACTGATGCAAATCACCATGCATGTTTGAATGTGAAAAAAATACTTGGAATGGTCACAATTTGGGAAACTCACCATTGATGGCCGGGGTAAGTTGGGTTTTTTTGACAAGGGAAACTCCAAAATTGCCCCCTTATGACCTAGGATACCATTCATGGTGCTCCGAAAAATTCTTTGTGATTGCACAACTACTCAAATTAATGTTCATGTCTATTGCCAAACCACATATGTTCATGAAGACAGCCACAAAAGTAGGATTTTGCTCGGGCCACATATTTAAGACTTGGAGACCTATTCAAATCATTAAAATTCAAAAACATTAGTGGCAAGCCAAACAAGATAATCCTGTGATTGCCACATACTAGAACGGGATGGTAGCATTATGGCAATAGTTGGATCAATTCCACGATGATGTGTGCGAGAGTCCTGTAGACTCTGCTCGACAGAAGGAGGAGAATGACCATGTTTTTATGTTCCTGGAAAGTCCCCATGAAGTAAAAGGAAGAATTCTTGGCGAAAAGCCTCTTCCATCCATTCGAGAAGTATTATTAGAAGTAAGACTTCAAGAAATCCGAAGTAAAGTAATGACGAATGGGATCCAATCTGCTAATGTTGGCGAAACAACAACCCCACTTGTTCCTGCCATGTACCAAGGGAATGATACCAAAAAGAAACCCTTTTTTTTTATTAACCTGGATATCCAACCCGCTATGCGAGCTGGCTAATTCCAGGGCGACCACCTGCTTTGCAGATAGCCCGGAGTCATCGCATTTGAACCTCCATGGCTACAAGGGGATTTTTATTCCTCCTCGGATTTGAACTTGGGACCTCCTGATACTTTTAACCTTTGGAGCCAAGCTCAAACCAATCAGACACCACCCTTGTGGTTAAAAGGTTTTGGCATACATGAGACAAGTGTTGGAAGCTTCATGGGAAGCCTATCGGTTGGAAGATCAAGTTTGAAAGTGCTCTTTACACCATAAGTGAAACAACTCAAGATACTCAAAACCAACCACGAGAGTCCCAACTCACAAAGGATCAAAATAGAGCTCCTAAAAATTGCTTAAAACCAAACCTATGTGGTAAAAATATTCAATCTTCTTCCCGTGTGTACTTACAACATAAAACAACTTGAATCATAGATTTAGGGGCATCTGATCACATGAAAAATTTCTCAAATATGTTCTATTCTTATAATCCTTGACTAGGAAATAAGAAAGCGCGAATTGCTCATGGCACTTTTCTGCCATAGCAAGAGTTGGTGATATAAAAATATCACCGGATTTGACTCTTTCTAGTGTTCAACATGTTTTGAAACTCTCATGTAAATCATCTCTATTCATAAACGGATTACTGACGTCAATTGTTGTGCCTTTTTCTCTTCATTCAATTTTATTTTTAGGACCTAGACTAGGGGAGGATGATTGGACATTCGAACATGCTAATGAGTATGATGGACTCTACATACTATATGAGTGAATACACACTCAAATAAGGCTATCAGAGACATTTCTTGCCTCCACACTACATCTAATTTGAGCAATGATGAGGTTTATTTATGTCACTTTAGATCAGGATATCCAAGTTTCTTTTATCTAAAACATTTGTTCCTTGTGTTATTCGGCAATAAAAATCTTTCTTCTTTTCAATGTGAGATTTGCGTAAACAAAACTACACAAGAGTACGTATCATCCACAACTATATAAACCATCCATGCCTTTTGCTTTGATACATAGTGACACATGGGGTCCTTCTACGGTCACTACTTGTCATGTGAACATGTCGTTTATTACCTTTACTGATAATCATACAAGGGTATATTAGTTCTATTTGCTTAAAGAAAATTTTGAAGTAGAACATGTCATCAAAAAATTCTTTAACATGATTCTAACTCAGTTTGATACTAAAATTCAAATTCTTAGAAATGATAATGGGTGGGAATATTTTTCTAGAACTCTTAGGAATTTTTTAGATGCTCAAGGCATAGTTCAACAAAGCTCTTGCCTAGATACTCCACCATAAACGGCAAAGCTAAAAGAAAAAGCCAGATATTTTCTTTAAAATCACCCGTGCATTATTTTTTTAAACTAAAAGTATCAACGTAATTAAGCGAAGATGCTCTTCTTCATGCTACATATTTAATGAACCAAATGCCTTCTAAAGAATTAAAGTTTTGAACACCCATTTTTGTTTTAGAAAATTCTTTTCCAAAGTGATAATGGTTTATTCCATGCCTTTAAAAGTTTTTGGTTGTATAATGTTTATTAAGAACACTAGTACCACTCTTGGCAAATTAGACGACAAAGCCCTCAAATGTGTTTTTTGTAGGAATCAATAAAAAGGGGTTTAAATATTTTCATCCAAGCACCCGAAAAATGTTTGTTACCATGGATGTTATGTTTTTTTTGAAATTATTCGTTTCTTTAATCCTTGAGAGAAAATAGAAAAGAAGACTTGATTTTCTCAGATTTAGTGTTTACATCTGCATTTGACCCATTTGCATTCGACTCAAATCTCAAAAATGGTCCAATCTTTGAACATGTGGAGATGTAGATGGTCCAATTCTTGGACTATTGCAATAGAAACAACATTATAGGAAAATGATCATAATACTCCTCCTGGAGAAACTAACGTACCATCCGAATTTCAACAAGTTACGTAAAAGGATTGTAGTGATCTAGAAAAAAGGTTGTTTGGAAAAGTGAATGAGAGAAGATTCCCTCAAATCTTGATTGGCCAATCAGGCAATTTGATGTAAAAAATGCCTTCGTAAATGGCAAACTAGAAGAAGTTGCATGTTGCCACCATCTGGATTTGAAAGTAACTTTGACTCAAAAGTGTGCAAATTAGAGCAAGGTTATAAAAGGCGAAATCGGTCCTCAAGGCATTTTCCCTCAACGAAGAGAGGAGTAAGCCTCGAGGTGGTCCGAGGCGTAAGCCCCGAGGCGGAAATATATATACACCAAAATATGTATATATACACATTTATATACAATGTATATAATACAAAATTAGTTAGACGCGATGCTCAATGGTTCTTGATAAAGGAAAGAGTGAAACCATGAGATAGCGGAGAGGGGTGTGGAAAAATTGGTTGCTTGGAGGAAGAAAGTACTAGCTTTTTGGGTTTTAAAATATTAAAAGTACATATTGGGGCCAATCGGCTGTGACTTTTAGTTTTTTTAAAATAAAAAAAAGACACCATGAAGAGAAAGTACTACTATTGCCATAAAGCTTATAAAAAGCCAAAAAACATTACCAAAGCATATCATATGGGGTGTACGCCTCGACAGTGCTTCACGCCTCACTAAACCGCCTCATTGAACCTAGGCATACGCCTCGTCCAGGGTCCAAGAGGCGCCGCCTCAGGTGTGGTTTTAGGCCGCATATGCCTCAAACGATTTTTAAAACCATGAATTAGTGAAAGCTTTATATGGGTCAAGCAATCTGTAAGGGCATGGTTTGAACATTTCAACCAAGTAGTTAGAAGTTATGTTTATATTAAAGCTCAATCTGATCATACTCTATTCTCTTTGAAGGGTAAAACCAGATCTCTAATCGTTTATGTAGATGACATACTCCTCAGTCCTCACAGGTAATCATCGTGATGAGATGGGAAGAATGAAAGACCAACTTGCTAAAGAATTTGAAGTAAAGGACCTTGGAGAAATGAAATATTTTCTAGGTACGGAGGTTGCAAGGTCAAAAAAGGGTAGTGTTATCACAAAGGAGATACGTTCTGGATCGTCTACGAGATACTGGAATGAGTGTATGCCGACCCATAGATACCCCAATTGACCCCAACAAAAGGTTGGATGATATCACCGATGAAAAACTGGTTGATATTCACCGAGACTAACGACTGGTTGGGAGGCTGATTTATCTGTCACATACAAACCTGACATTGCATTTGCCGTTAGCATGGTGAATTGGTTTATCCATCGTTCGTACGAAGAACATCTAGAAGTTGTCCACATAATTCTCATATATTTAAAGAGTTGTCCAAGTAAAGGACTATTCTACAAAAGAGGAGAGATTCGAGCCATTGAAGCTTTTACTGCAAGCTGGTAGACCCAAACATGAGCAGAAGGTTTACGTTAGGTTAATGTATTTATGCATGGGGAAATGTTGTCACTGGATAAGCAAGAAGCAGACAGAGTGTAGTATCCTGAAGTAGTGCAGGGGTTGAAATGGCATATGTGAGATGATTTGGATCAAAAGGGTCTGTGCAGATTTATGGTTGAAGGTTGAGCTACCTATGAAGTTGTTCTGTGATGATAAAACACTCATTAACATTTTGCAGAATCTAGTCGAGCACCACTTGACAAAACACACTGAAGTGTATTGAGACATCATAAGGGAAAAGATGGACAATGGAACTATCTGCATTCCCTTCATTCCATCCGAGGAGCAAACAACATATATCCTAACCAAAGGGCTATTAAAATCGACATTTGATCTTGTTATAGACAAGGTAGGCATGTATGATATATATGCAACAACTTGAGGGGGATTGTGAAATTGATATGCATAATATACTCCAGATTTTGTGGGAGTATATTTATCTTTTAGTAACAAATTTTATAGTTATCTGTATAGTTGGATAGTCTCTGTTTTGTACAATCAAATCCGGTAAATTATGGGATTCTGGTTAGGCCCTTAAGCTGTGTATATACCTTGTGTATTATGAATGAGAAAATATACAGGATTTCTCTAAAAAAACTTCACTAAGTATAGTTGTTAAAGAAAGTATTTAATGTCTGGCTCGCATAGCGGGTTGGATATCCAGGTTAATAAAAAAAAAGTATAGTTGTTAAAGTGACTTGAGTTGCAGAAGAAAGTATTTTCTAATACTATTTTAGTACATTAAATGTTGAACAAGCACATGCCTTGTGCGTTTTTAGAAAGAGACATGTTGTGCAATGGGTCATCAAATGTGTGCCAGTTGTGATTTGAGTCGCACTATTTGTCACTAATCCTGATAAAGTTTTTGTATATTTGAACAGAATTAGAAATGCGAATAAGAGGACGAGATATTAAAATCTAATGCATGTTATGTTGCCATTTGAAAGCTGAGTTGCTTGCCGGTTGTGCTTTGAGCATTGTTTTGTTTAAAATGTTCATTAGCATATTATTAGGAGCCTATATACAATCATGCCAAAATATCATTTAGGTTACGTTTGGTACATGGGATGGGACATGACGGGACGGGACAAAACTCACTGTCCCATGTTTGGCGCAACATGGGACAGAACAAGGACATACTATCCCACGTTTGGTGTGACATGAGATAGGGACAAGAACTGGGACAAGGTGGGACAAAATAGGCTTTTTCTTGTTCCACCAAAATAGGTGGAACAAGATGGGACAAGAATGAGACAGAAACTAAAATATTACTAATTTACCTAGTTTGATATATAATATTAATATGGTATTTGTTTTAATGGTCAACATCGCTAGTTTCGGCCGCTGCCACCACCAGTGGCCACCTCCACCTCCTCTTCCACTACAACAACATCCTCCACCGCCTCCACAACCACCGTCTCCACAACCACCGTTCACCATCGTCTATCGCCACCTCTACCATAGTCGACCACTGATCATCACTGTCAATTGCCACCACCACTACCGCCGTTCGCCACCTCCAACTCCTCTACTACAACAACCTCCTTCACCACCTCCACAACCACCGTCGACCACCGACCACCACCACCCATTACTACCAACACTACCACGATTGGCCACCTCCAACTCCTATACCACAACAACCTCCTCCACAACCACCGTCGACCACCGACCACCACCACCCATTACTACCAACACTACCACGATTGGCCACCTCCAACTCCTATACCACAACAACCTCCTCCACAACCACCGTCGACCACCGACCACCGCTGTCCATTGCCACCTCTACAACCACCATCAGCCACCAACCACCACCATCGCTACCACCGTTGGCCACCTCCAACTCCTCCTCTACTGCAATAACCTCCTCCACAACCTCCACAACCACCGTCAACCATCGACCACCACCGTCCATTGCCACCTCACCTCCACCATAACCACCACCACCAATATCTTCACCACATCAGCCACAACTACCTCCTCCACCGTTGTACCACCACATGAAAATTTCATGCTCAACTTGCTTTTCATTTTTTCTGATGCATCATTTGTATACATTAAGTGATGGTATTTATGTGCCTTTTCTTAGACGGCGATAGCTAAAAATAAAGTTTTCCATGAGAGAACCAAAAATGTAGAAGTAGATTGCCATCTGAAATAAAATTATGTTGTTGAGACTCCTTCCAACCGGCATCCACAATCGTAGGTAGATTTCATAGGAAACAAGTTGGACATGATAAATATCTATGCTCGAGCTCGAGGAAGAGTTATTAGTTGGTTCTCTTGGTTCTTCATTAGTCGCTGTCATTTAGGTTTTCTATTTTCGCTTTCATGTTTCTATCTATAACTGGCCCATGGCCCAATACGTGCCCTATATTGTTCTTCGTCCTTCTGTCATAACAAACAGTATAGTTGAACCCTAATTCGTTGACCACAATAAAATATGAATTCCCCATTTCCACTATGTATCTTATTCAATTTGTTGTGCAGATAATCTGAAAATTAGAGTTATCACCTATGCTGCAAAGGAAACAGAGAGTGAGGAATGGATAATGAGGAAATCTTCTATAAAAATAAAAATGTCTCACAATTCTTGCTCAAGCTAAAAAAACACAATTACTTCTATGAGGGGGTTATTCTAGAAGTTCGTGTGAAAACTCTAAAGTACGAGCATCCAAGAGTTGGGTAGATTATATATATTTGTTCTTCTACATGCTCCATACTGCATAAATTTCTTGGATTACTACATTAAGTATTTTTGGATGGAACCGTAGCTTGTCTCTGGAGGTTGCATTGAAGCACATTTCTCTTTGTTTATATTTGTGTTGTAATTATTGGCCGTTGTTTCCATATTTCCATACAAGGCTTGATGTTGCTGTCTTTGGACCAAACAATAGTATAGAGCTTGTGGTTTGTGTAGGAATGATTTTTCTGCTGCTTAATGCTAAAAATGAATTACTACTGGTTAAAGAAAGGTCTGCTTATCTACATAATCATTGTACATTTTAATCAACTGAACATTAATTACTAGAGAGAACCCTTGCCAGAGCCGCGAGAAGACCACAAAATAGAGGACTGGAACATAACAGAATAGAGGAGAGGACAACTGCAACTCCTTTGATTTCAATCACCACGAGGCTGAGAAGATGTGACAGGAACCCTCACAAGAAGTGACCACAATACACATAACATAGACCCTCAACAAACATAAATTCAGTTAATATTTGGAATAAAACATCTATTTATACAATTTATAAGAGGAATCAGCCAAAACGAGGCCAATTCAGACAAGATAATGCTTGGTTAATGATTTCGTAGTTTGCTTTCATGAATCAATTCATTGAATCATACAAATCATATAGTGAAATGCACAAATTTGACCACATTGGTCAGTACAACTTATGTCTACAGCAACAGTGATTGAGGCAATAACACTATACAAACACACAGGTTTTGTGATGGAAACCCATTAAACTAAGGGGCAAGAGAATGAAATAAACAAAACACAGTATTCAATTAATATTCAAGTTTATCAACATTATATATAAAATCAAAATCAGTAATGAGAAAAGTATGTAATTATTGAAATATGGCCACTGGAGGCTAGGATTTGATTGTATGTTAAGATAATATTAACATGTGAATATCATAGTTTTGACACATTTTAATGTGACCTTACTTCATAAGCATGTTGAACAGAAGGAGTTTCCGTTTGAATATCCCAATAGCGAATGTCGAATTTAACAAGTCAATTGATAAAAGATTTTTCAATTTAGGATGGCTGTCTCTGTGTCTCCATTATTTTCTTTGACAACAGTGACTTGATACCTGGTAATAAGCCTCAACCTCATAATGTTTTGTAGGGAGAGTTTCAGTTAAATTTAACATATCATTTGCATGAGCATATGCATTTATGTCGCTCTTTCTATTATGAGTAGCATTAGTACATCATAAACTTGATTGGATGCTTTTTGTTTAAAAATTTAGCATTCCAATTCTAGACAAGCCTTTTTGTTTAGTACTGACACACTGTATTTTGCACCCTTGTGCCAGTTGATGAGGATTCATTCTAGGACTCCACATAGAGGCTGGACTCGCCAGAAAGTAAGTAGCACCTGCACTTCTTAAATACCTTTTATTCGTTACAATTTGCATGAAGAAGTACTGCCGTAGTTGAAGATATATGCTACCACTTGTTGTAAGGAATTAAAGCATGGTAGATTTACATTGTTTTGTTGGAATGTAGGCTTCGGCCTACTAAGTTAGACAAAAGGGAGGAGGCATAAAGTAAGGAGCCGGCCCTAGCCCAAAAGGAACCGACCCTAGTCTCTACCCTAGTTTCCTTGATTAGGAGATAACCCTAATTATGTTTGTCTATATATATTAATCTCATTGTACTTGTAAACATTTGTAGCACCTAAATAAAGAAAAACCTAGTTGCCCCCGTGGATTAGCACGATCAATCTGATCGTGTGAACCACGTAAATTCTTGTGTTCTTCTCTTGTAAACATTTGTAGCACCTAAATAAGACAGTTAGTAAACACCAAAATGAAAGAAGGTATGTCTGTTACCTCACACATTAATGGTTTCAATACCATTATATCGCGCTTGTTATCTGTTGATATTAAGGTTGAAGATGAAGTCCAAGCTTTGCTTTTGTTATCCTCGTTACAGGAAAGTTGGTCAGGAACTGTCACTGCCATTAGTGGTTCAGTTGGAACCTCTAAACTCACTTTTGAGGGCATTCGTGACTTCATCCTAGGAGAGGACAWAAGGAGACGGAGTTCTGGAGAATCATCTAGTGCTTTGCTAAGCACTGAAGGGAGAGGTAGAAAGACAGAAAGGGGTAATGGCAGAGGTAGATCAAAGTCAAGAAAGAGGAGCCACTCAAAACCAAGAAAAGACATCCAATGTTGGAAGTGCAAAGAAACTGGGCATTTCAGAAATCAATGCCCTAAACAATCAGATGGAAACAGAGAGGTGAACGCAGCAACTGATGATTCAGACGATGCCCTTATCTGTTGTGTTGAGAATTYAGYAGAGTCGTGGATCTTGGATTCTGGTGCATCATTTCATGCTACTTTCAGCACGAAGATGATGAAGAATCTACGAACAGGTAATTTTGGTAAAGTTCGTTTGGCTGACCATCGCACTCTTGACATCACAGGAATAGATGACAGACATAAAGACTTCATTGGGTACCACTTGGACATTGAAGGACGTTCGAGTCATTCCAAGCCTTAAGAAAATGTTGATTTCTACTGGGCAGTTGGATGACCAGGGATTCAAAGTCATTTTTGGTGAAGGGCAATGGAAGGTTGTCAAAGAAAACCTTGTAATCGCCAAAGGTAAAAAGCGAGGCACCTTATACATGGTCGATGTTCCCGACAGTGAGGTGCATGCAGTGACCAGCGGGATGAAACCATCCAGATTGTGGCATCAACGACTCGGCTACATGAGTGAAAAGGGAATGAAGATGCTCGTTGCCAGAGGCAAGCTCCTAGATTTAAAAAGGGTGGATTCTGAATTCTGTGAACCCTGTGTGCTTGGCAAGAAAAAGAAGGTATCCTTTGCGAAGACGGGTCAGACACCAAAAGCTCATAAACTAGAGCTTGTTCACACAGATGTTTATGGACCAACACCAGTTTCTT